CTGACACTGGGTAATTTGACACATGGTTTTGGAGGCTGACAATCCAAGCTCAGGCATCTACATCTAGCAAGGACCTCATGCTGTACCATAATATGGTGGATGGGATCACATGACAGGAGTGTGTACAAAAGAAAAAGAACCACGAGAGCTTAACTTACTTTATGATGTCCCATTCTCGTGGGAACTAATCAAGTCCCATAAAACCTAATCTACTCCTGTGAGAGAGCATTAATCCCTTCCGAGGWTGGTGCTCCCAATGACTTAATCACTTTCCACTAGGTGCCACCTTTTTAAAGGTTCCACCACCTTTTAATACTGTTACATTAGGGACAACCCTTTAGTTCATGAACTCTGAGGGACACACCATATCCAAATTATAGCAAGGTGTAAGACGTTCGATGCAAGGTTTATAATTTTAATGGCAACTTTTAAGTATTTTGGCTTAGTGATAGGTCAGATGGAATATAATAAAATGTATTGTGCAAAATAATGAATAAAAATACCTGCTTAAAGTGTGAAATTATGTTCAACTCATTTGCCTTAATTATAAAAGAAAGGTGAAGAAGTAATCTTATCAAAGGAAGATAAACATTAATAATATTCAGTGCTCGTGAAATTAAGAGAAAATAGGTACTCTAATATATAGTGGGTAGCAGTATAAATTAAATCAAGCTTTTTGGAGCACTTTATATTGGTGTACATTAAGATACAAGGGTTTTAGTCATAAAAATTTTTATGATAAGATCATAAAAATAGAGTTATTAAAATGAAGAAATTTATTTTTTTTATTTTCCAGAGCAATTTAAAAATGAAAGATAAAATCTGTATTTACTTTTATAGTGTAGTTAATAGCAATGAGTTTTCTGACCATTTTTTCTGAAAGGAGCCAAACTTTAAGGTTATAATGGGGGTTAAATATTAAATACTTTAAGGTTATAATGGGGGTGAAATATTAAATACTAATAATTCATGGGCCTGTGTTCAAGGAATTTGTTGTTTAATGAATGGAAAAATCTTTGGAGATTGACATAAGACAATTTGCAAGAGATATGAATGAAAATATAAAGTATTCCTATGTACTATACAAAGGATGAGTCCTGTGAAAAATTAATCAAGGGAAATACCAACAATTGGCATAGTTATTGTTGTAGACTTAAATGGAGTAAATATATTTTAATTAGATTCTATAGATAGAGTTGTATTGATCGGGTAATGAACATATTAGTTGAATTACACAGTGAAAAAGAAAGATATAAAGGTAAATGAAAAGAAAGGCGAGGAAACAAAAATCATTTCATCTGTTAATTCCCTTAAGCTTTCTCCAGCATATCCTATGTGTCTGATATTTATAATTTAAAGGTGATATCAAAGGAAATCATTTTATTGCTGGATATAGATAAGTGGGGAGTTAAATGTAAATGACTTATGCTTCAATGTGTTTAATGTGTGGCTGATTGCTTTCTTTTGTCTTTTTTTCTATTGATGAATGGTGCGGCTTCTGTGTGGCTGATATTACAAATTCTRTTTTGGAAGCAAAACTAAATAATGATTATGAAATGAATAAATAGGTGAAATTGCATATTTTTCTATGCATAAATATCACTTAATGAACTATTTTCTCAATGATGACTTTTAATCTTTGGGAATAACAGAATAAAATGACTTAAACTATGGCTTTCAGTAGAAACTTAAGATAGTTTTAAGTATGTAGGGGAAAATATTAGTTTATTAGGTGATTGAGTAATAGAAGACTATATTTCCTTTTAATTTTATTTTTTTAATCTTAAAAGAATAAATGATATAACTTTGTTATGTTAAAGTGGACTATATTTATTTAGCCACAAAAATATATATACTCAGTGGCTAGGATGTTCTTGTAACATCCTGGGCTAAGAAAAAATATTATGGACAAAACATACCTACTAATAGATGGGTTGAATTGTTGTTCAAAAATATTTTCTGGATCTTCTAAAAGCCTCCTGGACTATTATTTGGTCTGTTTTCCTAGTTATCATCATTTTGTCTTAGTCAGAGGTTTCCCTGTCAGGTCCCTTTGCACAGCCTGTTGAYTGACCTTTGGGTTGTATTTCTACTACAGTCCAGTTAGTTGTGGTTGCAGGTGTATAGTCCATGATATATTTACCTCAGTTGGATTACATATAGGCTGGACAGGTTTCTTATTCTCCCTTGAGGTCCTCCCTTGAGGTCAGCAAATCTCATGTATTAGGGACCCTGGTTTTTTCAGCATAAGCAGCTTATTTTCAAATGAAAGTTAATGTTTTAAGGGGCTGGGGATGGCTCAAGCGGTAGCGCGCTTTCCTGGCATGCGTGCAGCCCGGGTTCGATCCTCAGCACCACATACAAACAAAGTTATTGTGTCCGCCAAAAACTAAAAAATAAATATTAAAAAATTCTCTCTCTCTCTCTCTCTCTCTCTCTCTCTAAAAAAAAAAAAAAAAAGAAAGTTAATGTTTTAATTTTTAGTCTACCAAATAGAGTCATCACTGTTTACCAACCCAGTCCAGTGGGGCTTTTTTATTCTTTCATAGTAGTTGACTTTCATGAGTAACTTATAGCATAAGTAGTAAAAAAATCAACTCATTAGAAATTTTGATAGTAATTTAAGCATAGCAAGCCTCCTATGTCAAATAAATTTTGGTATGCAAACATTCACAAATGATGAAATGGTATTGCATGATATTTTTTTAAAACAAACAAAAAACCAAAAAGGTGATCCAAGTTGTTGTTTCATAATATTACATGAAAAAGTCCTTTCAGTTGACTAACTGGAGAAAATACCATATTTATTTTTTCTTTAGAAATACATTGTATACTTATTGATTCTTAACTCATTATTTTCTTTTAGGATATTATCATTAGTCAGAAATGTCATGTCACTTTAAACAACACTGGTAGTCTACAGTGCTGTTTTGGCATCCATCTTTTGATGTTTCTAATCATTGTGAAATCTTTTTTTTTTTTTTGTCAGTTTTCTTCTCTTTTCTATTTTGAGTAGAAAACGAAAACTATGGAATTAGTATAATCAATGAAATTAAAATGCAGACTACAAAGGTTCTGTCCTAGCTTTAAAAAATACTTTCTTGAAAGATACAACGTATTGGGCAACATAATATAAAAGCTGGGTGATGAATTATTTCACTATGGGATTAGCCTTGTAGGTCAGAGGTCAGCAAATCTCATTTGCTWCCTACCATGCTGTATTGGAGTGTGGCCATCTTTGGTCATTTTTGTGTGGTTGCTTTTGTGCCACTATAGCAGAGTTGAAGAATGGTAGGTATAGTGTGGCCCACAGCCTAAAATATTTGTCAGCTGCCTTCAAGAGAAAGTTTGCCAATCTCTTCTAGGTGATTCCTCAATTTTCCTTTTTCTTTTAAATATTTTTTATTTTAGTCTTTTAAAATGTTTTTAGCATGGTGGAGAATAATCAATGAATGATGGTGAGTACTGATGAAATAATAATACCTAAGGGTATTTAAAAAAACGTTCTTAGACAAAAGAAAGATAATACAAGATCCTATTTTATATTTATAAAAAGGTCCAATGTAATCTACATGGAAAATGTGAGATAGAATTTTATTTCATCGCTAAACAATATAGTACATATTCTTTTTCATTGGAAGACCTCTAAAAGAATAAAAGACTTCTAAGAAGGATTAAATCATGAACTATCAACTCTTAAATAGATAAATTTGCTAAGGAAAAAAAACCCCTTAAAAACAAAAATCAGATGTACTCTATTGTGAAAGCAAGGGTTAATTTATATAAGTTCATAATTGCTGCCTCATATCTTTGAAAAGTTTTCTTTTTTAAAAAAATGCTTATTCAAATTAGTTTGGTTATTTATTTTTTCCCAAAAATTGTTTTTGGGTTTGGGATGTAACTCAGTGGTAGAATGCTTGCCTGGTATGCACCAGGTCTCCATCTGTGTGTCTTTATTACACACATACACACATTCTCTCTGTCTCTCTGTCTCTGTCTCTCTCTCTCTCTCTCTCTCTCTCTCTCTCTCACCTTTTAAAGAAAAATTTTTTGTTTATATATGATAGCAGAATACATTATAATTCTTATTACACATAGAGAGCACAATTTTTCATATCTCTGGTTGTTTACACAGTTATTCACACCAATTCATGTCTTAATAGCTGTACTTTGGGTAATAATGATCATCACATTCCACCATCATTAATAACCCCATGCCGCCTCCCTTCCCCTCCAACCCCTCTGCCCTATCCAGAGTTCATCTATTCCTCCCATGCTCTCACTCCCTATTCAACTATGAATCAGCCTCCTTATATCARGGAAAACATTCAGCATTTGTTTTGGGGGGATTGGCTAACTTCACTTAGTGTTTTCTTCTCTAACTCCATCCGTTTACCTACAAATGCCATGATTTTATTCTCTTTTATTGCTGAGTAATATTCCATTGTGTATATATGCCACATTTTTTAATCCATTCATCTATTGAAGGGCATCTAGGTTGGTTCCACAGTTGAGCTATTGTGAATTGTGCTGCTATAAACATTGATATGGCTGTGTCCCTGTAGTATGCTGTTTTTAAGTCCTTTGGGTATAGACCAAGGAGAGGGATAGCTGGGTCAAATGGTGGTTCCATTCCCAAATTTCCAAGAAATCTCTGTACAGCTTTCCATATTGGCTGCACCAACTTGCAGTCCCACCAGTAGTGTATGAGTGTACCTTTTCCCACACATCCTCGCTAACACTTATTGTTGTTTGTATGCATAATAGCTGCCATTCTGACTGAAGTGAGATGAAATATTAGAGTGATTTTGATTTGCATTTCTCTAATTGCTAGTAATTAAAACCCAGGAAAATTGTAATTTTAAGAAGAGATTATGAAGCTACAGTATATTTCTATAAATATAAAGTGAGCAGAGCCACTAAAATTAACTACAATCCATTTTTTAAAAAGTATCAATACTAAAGGAATCCTCATAAGTTTTTGTCTTTATTTTTTGAAGGCACGAGGAGCAGATGTTCCAGAGATTCCTGGAGATCTTACTCTTAAAACATGTGGTAATACAGCGAGTATGAAAGTTAAACACGTGAAAAAGTAAGTATAACTTTGGAGTGGGTTCTAAATGCATTCCTATAAATGGAAGTCAGTTCTGTAATTCTGTTAAAGCTTTTATTTAGATTTCTATAAATAAGCTCTTACTATGCATGTGTTAAATTATACTGTTAAGCCTTAAATTGTGACTCAACAATTAATGGAAATAGGCTTGCAGATTATCTGCTTTTCTAAAAATATGTTGTATTTTTGATCTTGAAATGTCATTGTCTATTAGGTTGAATTTGTTTAATAGCAACAATCCAGGCATGCCCTTTTTTGGTACCTTTAATTTATGTGGTCATTCATTTAGAAAAGTCAKCTCTGTTCGAGTTATTAGATCACTAGATGTCACGTTTGCCTGATAGATGCCACTAGTTGGCTGTTCAGTGAAATACCTGAATCTTTCCCATGCATCTTTAAAGAGAGAAACTACTTTTTACTTGGTAAAGGAAGGTTAGGTAGCTAGCTATGCTTCATGTATAAGTAGAGGAAAGATCAGGATAAAATTGTTCATTCTGCATTCAGGTCTACTACTCCGGGACTGATGGGCTGTGACAACATTCACAGGTAAAATCCAGTTGTGTACTTGATGTTGTGAATGCTGCTTCTGGTTAGAAGCTGACAGCTCACAGTTAGTTTGAATAATATTCACCTAAAGTAGTTTTTCTGTAGTCACTGACTTGGATCAAGATTAGGAGAGGATAGTGATTTATTTTTCATTTTTAATTTTTGGTTTAGATCTGTGTGCTAAATGTAATATTTTTTGATCGATGTCTCTCTGAGAAGATTTGTATGGATACATATGGCTCATATGCATGTGCTTATTATTTTTGCTTGCATGAACTCTTTAACCTATTGTGTGTTCCCGAGACTTGGTAATTTTGACTCTCCCACTATCTTATTTCATATTTATTTTCATGTACTTCAGGTTACCCTTCACTAAGGGTCACTTTCCGAAGATGGCTGAATGTGCACATTTCCATTATGAGAATGTTGAATTTGGCAGCATACAGGTATATTTGAAATATTTCTTACATTGTGAATTAGGATAACTGATATAGKTGATACTTTGAAAGTTTTTCTAATGATGTCTTATTGATTCTGTTCTGTTGACTAATTCTTTTTTTTTTATTGGTTGTTCACAACATTACAAAGCTCTTGACATCTCATATTTCATACATTAGAATCAAGTGTGTTATGAACTCCCATTTTTACCCCAAATACAGATTGCAGAATCACATCGGTTACACATCCACATTTTTATATACTGCCCTATTAGTGGCTGTTGTATTCTGCTACCTTTCCTATGTTAACTAATTCTTGATGTCAAGTTAACACAGAATATGAACTGTCACAATAACATGTATCAGTTAAGGAAAATAAATCCTTTCTTCCTTGTTTTTTTTCTTTGTTTAATCTTGTAGCATGTCCATATGCTCATAGGTTTATGTAGTAATTTTCCATTCTGAAATGGTATAATTTTGCTAATATTATCTTTTCTCTAAATTTTGATATAGGGCAAAAAGTACATTAATTGATTTTTCATTTTCAAAAGTGCCTCATCTATTCTTAACCTTTATATTTACATGAAATTATAGAATCTAAATCATTGGTATCCATCAAGCTAAATACTTTGCTTATTATAAGTCATTGATATCTTAATGTGAAAAATTATGAGAAAATTTAAAAACTAGGCAAATTGTGGTTACTTTAAAAATTATATTTGCTTAGGGGAACAAAAGCCATTCTTTGTCTTATTTTTGTTTTTCAAAATACGCTAATAGGAAAAAACCATGATTTCTACACATTATAGAAAGGTTTGTTTTCACCTTCTGCCAGTTTCCCTAACTCTTTCCAAATGGAAACTTACAAGTAATTACAGTATGCTATTTTTTGTGATTTTATTTCATTAACAAATTAGATGGATTTTGTTTTACAGGATTTATGAAATGCAGGACTATTTCAGATAAATTGACAGTTTAAAAAGGCATTAGAGATTTATAATTTACTACTCAAAAAAGTAGTTTTTTTAATGTGTATATTCTTGAGATGGTTGTTATAATGATAAATGTGTTAAGTTTGGGCTAATTAAGAAAATGCTTATGAATATATTTTTCATTTTTGTGATTTAAATATTTGAGTGTTTTAGTTTATACAGCTCACAATTTATGTAATTTATTTCCTAGTAAATTTGCTTTGCTTGTGTTTTTTTAATCTTTACAAGGTTGAATGAGCTCTTTTGGAAGCAATAAACATAGCAAGAAGTTCTAGAGACCATCATTGTGCTTCTTAGGAAATTTGTGACTTTGGGCAAGCAACTTAGCCTTTCTGTGTTTCATTTACTTTTTTTTTTTTTTCCTGATGAATGAGGTTGTACTATACAATGTATTTCTAAAACTTTCATTGTTTTATGATTAAAGGATCTGCATTATTGTGTTTATTATGTTGAAATTGTGGGAAGAAAATAGACATTCTGAATGGGGTTTGGCTGTCTTCTGAGACTGTATTAAATGCTTATTATTATGGCTCAGTCATCTTAATCTTATGGGGGAGTACATCAGGTATGCTTCCAGTGAACAGATATGTAATTATTTTTCACTTTTCCCTCTATACTCACTTCTACTTTTAAAAAATTACTACAGTTTCTTGGGCAAAAGACATGAAAGACCTGACACAAACTCAGTTTGCGACCCTCCAAAATGAGACATGTGAGTGAGATATTTCAGGATTGTGTTGACTGAATAGGAGGCTTCTGGAGTATGGGAGTAGTAGTTCACAGGAAACTAGCCCAGCTGCTCCTTGCCACTTCACCACAGAATCTTCTGTCTTGGCCATACCCTGGCACAAATCTCCTGAGAAATCCACTCTCCAGCCAGTTTTGCCCTGCCATCTGCTCTGTATTTGGAGTTTGGCCTCTCCATACCACATATTCCAATTCTGTTGCCTTCTGCTTCTGGTTGGGTTTAGCCTATGTCAGATTCCATCAAGAAGAAACCACTAGTTTCTATGAACTGAATTGTTTAGTAAAAGAATTGTAAGAACAACCTGGCTTGATTTACATGTTTATATTTCTTTATTTTGGTTGCAATTTTTGCTTTAGCTAACATATGATTKTATATTTTATGGCCTGATTGGATGCCATTTCAGAAAAAGCAAAAACAGTAATACTACCCTCCAAACAATTCTATATTTTATCTAGTACAAGTAGTTAAAATAAAGTTCATGTAACAGTTCATATTMTTTACATTTCRTACTATAGATAAATCCTAGCATGTTTGATTCCAAACTTATTTGTGGAAATGAATCATTTATCACCTACTTATTTTCCATACAAGATTGGAAATAACATTCTGAGGAGAAAACAAGTAAGAAAACTTCATAATATATGTTTAGAATAGGTCATTATTCTTTTCTTGGGAAGCTTGGTTATATACCAGTAGATTATTCATGCTGTCAGCTGGCCAACTCAGTTGTTGCCTTTTAATATGTCCTATATGTCCTAATTCTGGGACATTTTTTTTCCCTTGGTGCTGAGGATTCAACTCAGGTCTTTATGCATTCTAGACAAGCACTCTGCCGCTGAGCTAAATCCCCAGCCCTGGGACATTTTTCATTCATAAACTTTGTCTTGGTTTTAACTCTTTATCTTAGGAATTTCTCTTAAACTTACAGATTTCTTTATATTCATAGTTCTTTCTTTTTCTCAGATCATAAAAATTTTCCATTGCAGTTGGCTATCATGCTGTAGTATGACAGAAATGCCAATAACTATTAAATATAGTCTATAAAAATATAGAAAAAATAATCTTTAAAATTAAGGGTTTTAGTTATAAAGTAAAAAAATTCTTAATCCTAAATTTTAGAAATTCCAATCAACAATTTTATTTAGACTAAAAGCTAGCATTTCTTATTTTAAAAAATCAGATAGTAAGTATTTGGGGTCAGTACTGTCATTGCTATGCAACATACAAAGAGCATTTTCTTGACCTCCTCTTTGAATTCTTATCTTGTATATCCAGCCAGCATCCTTGCATCTTTCCTTGGTTGCCTAATAAGCATCKCAAACTTAGCATGCCTGGAACAGTGTCCTCCCAGATCTGTTCCTCCTGCTATCCTCCTTCTTTTTGCATTGCAACCTTATCCTTTCACCTCATGAGGCTAGCCAAGGAACTTGAACATTTTTTTTTGTCAATCATTATGATTTAAATCTGAAATGTGCCCCAAAAGTTAATTTGTTGAAAGCATGTTCTCCAGTGCAGTGAATTTCAGAGGTGGGGCTTTAAACAATGTTTAGATCATAAGGGCTCTGATCCTGTCAGGCTCTGACTTCATCAGCAGGTTAATCAGTGATAGCTGAATAGACTACTGGAAAGTGGGACAGAGGAAGTAGGTCATGGGGGCATGCCCTGGAAGGGTTAATCTTCTCCTTTCCTCTTTCTCTTTCTCTCTGCTTTCTGGCTGCCATGTGCTARTAAGCAGCTTTTCTCTGCCATGCCCTTCTGCTGTGATGTTTSTCCCATGGAGCCAGCCAGTCATGTAGGGACCAAATCCTCTGAAACTGTGAGCCAAAATAAATCTTTTCTCCTGTAAGCTATTTTTGTCAGGTATCATCTCAGTCATAGTGATGAAAAGCTGACTAACACATCAGTCCTCAAATCCAAGCCCTCAGCATATTTTTTGTCCCTGTCTTTAAGGTATATTCAGGGTCTGATCACGGCTACCTAACTCCTTTCTATTATCATTTTAGAACAAGGTATTTTCATTTTGGAAGGATTGTTTCAATAGCGTTCTATAGTTGGTATAGCACCAAGAATGATTCTTTTCAAATGAAAATCAGACCGTGCCACTTTTTCAAAAAGTTATTTTTCATTTTACTCAAAATAAAAGCCAAATTTCTTAAAAATTCCAACCAGGATTTGTAAGAGCCTTACCTTTCCAACTTTATCTCTTCCTCACCCCTCAGGCAGAATCTCCAACTCCCTGGCCTCTTTGSAATTCCTCCATGTGTAGACCCTCTCTTTAGGTATTTTGTACTTTATTTTCTTTGCTTGGAAAGCTCCCCCCTGTATAGCCACATGTCTTTCTGCTTCTCTTTTAAAAATATTTGTTCCAGTGCTATCTTTTTAGAGGCACCTTTCCTACTAAAGAACTTCATCACAGGACTCTTCATTTCCTCCCATGCCTTTCTTATACCATTTAGCTTGTTAAATATTTTATTATTTATTCTCTCCTCCTCCATCTAGGACAGTGCCACACTTAAAAGTAATTCAGTAAATATTTGTTGAATGAATGAGATGAATGGATGAATAAATTCATATTTAAAAATAGACACAATTGGCTTTAAAAATGTTCTTTTATCATTTCATCATTTAAAATTTGCTCTTGTATAATAAGAATATATGTTTCTTGTATTAGGAGTATTTACTATAAAGCACTAATTGTGGGATGATATATTTTCAAAATATATAGCATAATCTATAGATATAGCTCTAGTAATACTATGTATTTAGCTATATCCTTCAAAAAATATGGCTGAAATTCTGTATACAAGCCCTAAAACTTGCTGAAATTATATCTTGTGTATATTTTGTCATTTCAGTAATTTGGAATTACCTCTTTTTTCATACTACCTGGTATTTCATTTTTTATTRTACTAATTTAATTAGTTCCCTGTTGCTAAATATCCCARGTTTTATTGATATGACTGTATCTATTAAATAAAATCTTGTCAGAGAGTTTCTGGGTTGGAGAGTATGTACATTTAAATTGTTGACATTTGTTGTTAAGGATTTTATTTACTATTACTATTAATCCAGTAGTTCCTGTTATCCACTGGGAATATGTTCTAAGACTCCCAGTGGATGTATGGAAAGTACAGAACTCTGTATATACTGTGTTTTTTCCTATATATTTGTTTAAGTAGTCATCTAGAGATGAGCAGGAATGAGAGAAGGTGGGGAGCATATAGGGGAAGAAACTGTAAAAACGGTCCCTAACTGGGAATTGACCCAGA